CGTGTGTGCGTGTGCCTGTGCGCGCGCGTGTTTGTGTGTGTGCCTCCGTGCGCGTGTGCGTGTGCGTGTGCGTGTGCGTGCGCGTGCGCGCGCGCGTGCGCGTGCGCGTGCGCGTGGGGGCGTGGGCGTGGGCGTTGGCGTGGGCGTGGGTGTGGATGTTGGGGTGTGGGGTGTGGGGGTTGCGGGGTGTGGGGGTGTGGGGGTGTGGCTGTGTGTGTGTGTGTGTGTTCGTGTGTTCGTGTGTTCGTGTGTTCGTGTGTTGGTGTGTTGGTGTGTGCGTGTGTGCGTGCGTGCGTGTGTGCGTGTGAGTGTGCGTGTGCGTGTGCGTCTGTGTGTCCGTGCGTCTCTGTGTGTGTGTGGGTGTGTGTGTGTGTCTGTGTGTGTATGAGGGTGAGGAGGTGGGCGTGGGGGGGAGGGGTGTGCGGGTGTGGGTCGGATACAGGTACGTGCGTGTGAGCGTGGACGTGTGTTGTGTTTGAGGAAACTCTTTTCTGGTTGTCTAGGGGGAAAGCAAAAGTACAACCGCCAGATTTTGCCCCCCCTCTTGTGACACATAGCGACTGGCAAACCCCGGACACGATAGGGATTAAATCTGTGTGATGCTCTTTTGCGTGATGCTCTTTTGCTTTCAAATGAACGTGGTCTTCCAATCCATGACTCAACCTGGACAAGACATATACACCCCAAGTCTTCCCAAAAAGGATCACGTAAAGGAACTTGGGCAAGGGCAAGAAAGCAGCCGGCTTCACTTTCGCCTCCGAGCTGCTCCCGCTTCCGCCTCTGAATTTCCTTGCCTTCTTGCAAGATGCCTTCGAGGAGACCCTGGCGCATGAGGCTTCCGAATCAGTTTCTCTAGCTTCCATTTGGTCAAGGCCCAGGAACAAATGAAAAAGTATTTCCAGTAGTGATGAATTCCTTTTAAGACCAACATGAGAAAATAATAATAACAAAAAGGAATATATTATTAAGCAAATGCAGGCTAGGGAACATGGAGCGCGTGGACCACCCAAATGCGTTGACACCTTCGTGGCGAATGAGCCTTGGGCAGCATGGCCCTTCATCACAGTTGCATTGTTTGCAATAAGTTCATGACCGCACACAAGGTATCTGCGAGTAAACTACCTACATCATGGTGAGCTCGTTTGAAGCCAACTTCAAGCAACACTTTGGACGCCACAACTCTGTTCATCTGTTCCCTTCATTCAGCACGCTGTCGCGCTGATTTCTGAGCTCTCTTTTTTGTCGGGATCTTCCCATGAACCGACATCGATTCCCCTTTCGTCGTGTTTTCCCTTACCCAACAGACAAACGCTGGTACCCACAACAGCTAGTTCTCCTCAAAAAGCAAACAACACATCACCCACGTCCAGTGGGAAATCCTGGCCATCTGCGGTGTGGGGGCCCTCCACAAGTCGAGTTTTGATTTCGGATCCCTGGTAGCCCTTGCGTCGCCCTCGGAAACACGTCTGAGTCTGGAGACCCCGAAATTTCTTAGCTCATTGAGGCGGCCCCTTTTTGCTCCGATGTACGTTCGGCAGAGTCGGACTCCCGGCCACGAGGAGTCTTAGTGTTGAATAAAATGAAACCCTGTTTGAGCTTGATCGGGGCCAACATTTCGAGGTGTCACAGCCTGGAGTCTCCATGACCCTTACATCTTACCCAAAATAATGGGGTCATGGACCCATTTTAAAAGGGTCATGGAGACTCCAGGAGGAACCTCCCGGCTGATTTTGATGTGCCCCAATTTGGAATTCGGAAGACCGTATGGGAGGCACTCTCGTCCCTGAGCCTCCAGAAACGCGGGGTTCTCAGGCAAAAGAAAGTGGTTTCAAACAACAATTGCTTAGGGACGCCAGAAGGAGGTTGTTCAAACATGGCTTCAACAGGTTTAGCCACAGATTTATTTTTTTGGGAGGCGGCTGGAACCATCCACCCTTGAAAGGGTCGAGAGGAAAAATGCGAGCTATGAGAAGAATGCACACGGTTTGGAAGATTTGAGCAACCATCAGAAAGTCATCGCACTGTCAAAATGTTTGCGACAACAAACTGCATGGTATGCACTCGCTTCAGCGAAACAACAGTGTTGCTAACCCCCCACCACGAACATGCATTTTGTGCTCCATGAACATTACCTTGTGCTCGGGCTCAGCGCGTTGATGCCCACAGCGCAGCTTCATGATTCATGCCCATGATCTCGTAGGTGGGGCCGAAAACAGCGAAGTGGCACATGCTAAAAGGACGAGGTTGCCTTACCAGCATGGGCCGGATTTTCGGTTCTTGATCGAAAGAAGCTTTGCAAGCAGACCCGGGCACGTGTTCCTTCATTTTGCACGGCCATTGGAGTACCTGGAGTCTCCATGACCCTAAAAAAACGGAGTCATTTTACCCAAAATGAGGTCATGGACTCATTTTAAAAGGGTCCTTAGGGAGACTCCAGGTATTTGTTTGGTCAAGCATGCTGGTGTTCAGGGGGCCTCTGTGCCAGGTTAAAACAAAACACACTCGCAGGCCGGCAGGCCATTTTCGCATTTCCCCAAAACATCACTCGAGATTCCGGCATCTCGTTTGCCACCTCCCCAAAAAAAAAGAAGAAAAAAGACTAATAAACAAGCGGGAAACCCATATGTGACATGTGTTTTCTCTGTCCATACGGCTTTCCAGGACGTCCTTTCCCCACAAACAAAAAAAAACGTGGCGCGGGCTCCGATCCGCTTTGAGCAGCGGATTCGAGATTTGCGAGTGCGGCTCGAATCCGCCTTGTCGTGGCCTAGGAAGCTGACCTTGGCCTTGGCCTCCCCGTTCTCGCGGGCTTCCCGGGTGACCCAGAGCCACTGGCCTCCGGCTTTGCCCTGACACCTGGCCCAAGCGCCGGCTAGGGAAGGCCACCCATTGGTTGATCCATACGTTTAACCCACTGGTTATGATGATTCTTCCCAGGTGGTGTGTAAAAGTCATATTTTGCCCCACCCAGCCGGCCACCCCCCGCGAGAGAGAAGCGACCAAACCGCAGAAACGGACTCGAGAGCGGGGCATCACAACCGGAATTGGGGGAAATGAAAGGGGGACGGGCCCAGTGGCTCGACGAGAACCAGCAAAAGGACCTGCAGTTCTACCCACATGCGCCTTTGAAACAGCAACTGGATCTATAAGCCACTTTCCACCACCACGTGCTCCCGCGCCGAAAAACGGAAACCCTCGACGACTCTACCCTCCCTTTAACAGGAGAACAGGTTCAAAAAAAATAAATCCATAAAAACAACTCCAGCACGAGACTCCTTCAAATCGAAAAGCTGGTATCCACAAAACTCCAGTAGAACTGACCTCAGGAAACTCCAGCAGGAATCCACAAAACTCCAGTGCCATCGTTTTATTTTTTAAGGTAGCCGGTTCTGTACCCCTGGGATGGAGGAGCTGCCGGCCAGCGCTGGGCTGTCCGCTTGCAGATCTGCTAGAAATTGACAGCTTTGCGTGGGGTAAATTCGGACACCCAACCACTAGACCCAAGCGAAAAAGCCAAGAGGAACCGGATATCCGGCTGGGAGCCTGGGAACCATCTCATTGGTACCGGGGTGAGTCTCCATGACCCTTAAAAAACGGTTGGTCATTACCCAAAATAATGGTTGGTCATGGACCCATTTTAAAAAAGGCCTTAGGGAGACTCCAGGTAGGGACCTTCAGGAGGTCGGAGCTCAACATTTGCCCAGAACTCTTAGCGACGACCACGGAGCCAGTGCACATACCACAGGCTGACGGATTGAAAATGGAGCCAGGAAATCCCAAATCCCAATCTGTAGTGGATGTGAATCGGAGTCTCCGTGACCCTTAAACAATGGTTAGTCATTACACAAAATAATGGTTGGTCATGGACCCATTTTAAAAAAGGCCTTAGGGAGACTCCAGGTAGGGACCTTCAGGAGGTCGGAGCTCAACATTTGCCCAGAACTCTTAGCGACGACCACGGAGCCAGTGCACATACCACAGGCTGACGGATTGAAAATGGAGCCAGGAAATCCCAAATCCCAATCTGTAGTGGATGTGAATCGGAGTCTCCGTGACCCTTAAACAATGGTTAGTCATTACACAAAATAATGGTTGGTCATGGACCCATTTTAAAAAAGGCCTTAGGGAGACTCCAGGTAGGGACCTTCAGGAGGTCGGAGCTCAACATTTGCCCAGAACTCTTAGCGACGACCACGGAGCCAGTGCACATACCACAGGCTGACGGATTGAAAATGGAGCCAGGAAATCCCAAATCCCAATCTGTAGTGGATGTGAATCGGAGTCTCCGTGACCCTTAAACAATGGTTAGTCATTACACAAAATAATGGTTGGTCATGGACCCATTTTAAAAAAGGCCTTAGGGAGACTCCAGGTAGGGACCTTCAGGAGGTCGGAGCTCAACATTTGCCCAGAACTCTTAGCGACGACCACGGAGCCAGTGCACATACCACAGGCTGACGGATTGAAAATGGAGCCAGGAAATCCCAAATCCCAATCTGTAGTGGATGTGAATCGGAGTCTCCGTGACCCTTAAACAATGGTTAGTCATTACACAAAATAATGGTTGGTCATGGACCCATTTTATAAGGGTCCTTCGGGAGACTCCAGGTGTAGTGGATGTGAATCAAAGTGACCCCCTCCCAGCCCATGGTCGCCTCACGCGAGTGGTATAGCAGATCTCCGGCTCGTACTCATAACCTGCAGCTGAGTGGGTGTGACGTGTGGCAAAGCCCTCGTTGTGTGGTTGAATTCGAGAAAAACCGCACGGAACACCATATTGGCGGTTGCCAGATGTAGTCACGAACCCAGCAAGGACAGAAGAAACATTTGCGGCGGCGATTGCCCGGAACCCTCGAAATTGTTGGACACGCGACCTCGGTTGCTTTCTGCTTCCCTGCTAAAAGTTTAACTTTTAGTGGTTTAATACGGAAAACCCCCATTCGTTGGCAAAAAGTTCTCAAGTCCTAACATCCCTTGGCAAAATTTGCGCCAAAGATCCGACATAACATCGATGACATGCACCAGCTAAGGTGGCCAAGTCAACTCACTTGGACCTGCGAGCCTCGATCGTTTCAGCAGGAACCAGCATCGAGTTCCCATGCTTTCCCGCTGCGGCACACATCAAGACTCGCCAACTGGTTGCGAAGGTTCGGCCCAATTGCCTAAGTAATCAGAATGGGGGTTTGGGTACTTTACTGTCCAATTTAGTCCCAACTGTAATAGGAGACAACTATTGGATTCAGCCAGGGCACACCTCGGCTCAGTTGTTTATCTGGGTGTGTCCTCAATATGTTTGTTTGAAAGAACACAGCAGGGATTGCTCCTGTTATTTCTTTGGATTGGAACGTCACACCAAGTTGAGACCAATAATTCGCTAGCGAACGCGCACACATGTTCGTGTGTGTGAAACTGAAACTACAAGTCCCTCAAACTGATTGATGTCCTCTCTTCAAAGCTACCCGACTTGAGTCCCCCCCATCGTTTTGGAAATAGCCATGCGTATGGCCCGAACTCCTTGCATGCCGCCGCGTTTCATGAACAGCCATCCTTTTGATGAGTGTAAAAGAACATCACTCACTAACTAATCACAATTGCTCACATGTTTAATCACCGTTGTTCCAAGGTGAGGAAATAGTTGCTTGCAACACTACATAAAAGCTCTCGTAGGAGGCTATCTCTCTCTCTCTCTATCTCTCTTCCTCTCTCTCTCTCTCTCTCTCTCTCTCTCTCTCTCTCTCTCTGTCGCCTTTCTCCGTTCTTGCAACACCTCACTGTCTGCAGTGTAAGCGAATCAGAAGCTGAGATCAAGGTATCGATGAACCCGCTACAGGCCCACGGCCATCCATGTCCATCGCCCTACGCTTCTCATTCCGCTGTGCTTGCGGAATCGCGGGAACTCGCTTGTCACGTGAGTCACAGTCAACACCTGGTGAAAAACCCTAGGAGCCCATGACTCTAAGTATGAAGGCCTTGAACCCGCAAGGGCCTCTAATGATGAGGTCTTGGGCCCCTAGGAAGAGGTCTACCGCGCCATGGTCTCTCTTTTTTGTTGATTGTTTTCTTAGTTGTTGACTGAGCGCCATCTTCCTACCGCAGATCACGGACAAATGCCTCTTGAACCTAACGCTAAGACTGTTGCTAAGCTTCACTTCTCTTGGGTGTGAACCCCTGCGCAACACCAACCTTTGGGTTGCCCTTCCAGGCGAAACCGCAAATCTCCCAGCTTTTCAAAATCCAGCTGTCTTTCAAGCCCCATTTTCCCCCCATCTCCGGGTTCTCACGCGCGCTTTCGGGCGCTCCCTGGCGCTGGTCGCTCCCGGGGCTCCGGGCGGGTGCTCTTGCCCTCGCCCCGCTTGGCGTAGAGCCACAGCTCCGAGGTGCCGTGGATCTCCGGGCGCTCCCTGAGCCACGCCAAGAGCAGGTCCGCGTCCTGCGGGTTGATTCGTTGACGATGGAAGGGAAGCAAAAAAATGAAATCTTAGCAGGTAAGTGGTTGGAGAAATCCCACTAAACCACAATAAGCAAACATGAAATGTGTCCCAACAAGAACCATGGATTGATGGGGGCAGGCTGTTTCAGTGGGCGAGCAGACGGACATTTTCCAGAGGTGGCAGAAAAAGACACCATTTACATGAAATCCAGGGATGTGTATGTGTTTTTTTGCGCGGATTGCAGAAAAAAAACAAACCATTTACCATGAAGTCCAGGGATGTGTATGTGTGTGGGTGTAGAAATAGAAAAACACCTTTTACATGGCTTGGATGAATGACTGACCAACTTTGACATCTGGGGGTGTTTGCACCTGGAACTTCCTTCTGACACTTTTCAAAGGGCGTGACCCAATTCGTAGTCCGGGAAACTTCCTTACTTCGTTGGGGTCATGCAGACTTCAGGTATATAACCCCTTTTAGATACGCCCTTGGATACGTCACCCGCAACTTTTACTGCTCATACCCATCTCCAAAATTGTGCTGTCTCGCTCTTAGGCCTGCGTGAAAGCTCTTAAGACATCCGATACGGGTCCACTCGAGCCCTTGGGGGAAGTCATGATCATAGGAGATGTGAGCAATTGTTTTGATATGAAAGTTAACATCCAAGCACCCACGACAATCCAAGCGCCCCTTGCCAGTACCCCTGCGCCTGCAATACGGGTTGTTGTCCCACAAGTAGGAATCGGACATTTTCAAATGTTTGACTTCATTGTTGTTTCCTGGGACCCCATATGACCGTTTTTGTTTGGTCATACGCCTTTGACCGAAAAAGATGGCCATACAGTTGTTTACGGCTTTTTTTCAACAACATGTCGAAAAAATAGGGGTTTCATACGGGTGATTTACGCAAATGACCGAAAAATCATGGCCATACGGGCAAATACGGCCAAATACGGGAGTTTGACCGGAAAAAAGAAAAGAAACAAAAAACAGCCATACGGGGTGCCAGGTTCTCTTCAAAAAGAGAACCCCAAAAAAGACATACAGCACAGAGGCTAAAATAATGGGTAGAAAGGACATCATATTATTTGTCAGTGGAATGCCATGAGGGGGGTAGGAAAAACAAAACACCAGTCCAGGCTAGGTTTGAGACCAGGAGATGGACGGCTGATTCTATCACAACCATCTCCGAATAACTGTAAAAGCACCAGCCCCGAACATTTGTGGGTCATTTGTCATATCGCTGGACACCTTCCTCCCAGCCCCAAAACTGGAGCCCCTGGCAGCAAGGTGCCAAGGGGAGTGTCTTCCAGCTGCGGAAGCTTGAAGCTCCACCCCATTTGCAGTCCACTGTTGTGACAAGTACCCATACCAGTCATACAACTGGGTGCTAAATAAAGGTCTGAAACAAATATAAACGATCCATCCTTTGGGCTTCTTGTTGGGAAGACTTTGCATCATAATATGTTTATCATCCAACTGACGGATTGCTTGTCCCAAAAACCCTCAGCTCTGTCCTTCTCATGGAGCCTCACGGTAACCCACAAGCGCCGCACCAGCCAGTCGCCTGCACTGTGCAGTTGCCCAGTGACCCTGGAAGAAACCGACAAAAAGTAACTCTGTTTGGGGTTGATCAACCCCAAACAGAGTTACTTTTTCTGGGTTGATCATTCTTTAGTAGGAACCCAAGCCCAAAAAAGTGGTGCCGCTGAACAACTGCATGCGCTCGATTCAAAGGCTCGACCTGACTTCATGTGCTTCAGACTCGTTGAGCCCCCCGTTTCATTCTCCAGGATGGCTGAACGAAATCGCATGCGACGCGCGGCCCGTTTTTAAGATGCACCAACAAAGGGGGGGTTGATCCGACAGGATGCCCCGGACAACCATTCATACCCTCGCCGGAGGATCCCCAACCACACCCCATGCCCTCCCTCCAAGAAAACCCCCAAATGACACACCGCTATGCTTCCACGATGCAAACAAATGGCTGTGGCTCAAACAATTGAATACATGGCACCTTGCTAAATGGAACCAAATACTAAAATATGCGTAGCTCTTCAATTTTGAGCCACACCTAAATATCAGGGGCTGATTAATCGGCGTGATCATGAAAAAGAGGGTGACTCCCGAGGCTTGAAATTCACTGCTGAAAATCATGGTGCAAGAATGAGCCAATCTATGACCCGTCTGTCCTTGGTTTTGGGGGGATGGGCTGCGTGGCCTTGTGTTTTCTTTATGCGGGTCGCGCTTCAAGTTGGTTTGAAGCGAAACCAACAGGAAGACCACCATTTTGCGGGGTAGCACCCAGTAGCAGACCTCACCTGCTGGGAAACCCTGAACAAATTTGCTCTCCACGTGTGGGTGTCTCTCAAAGCTACGGACCCTCCAATTGGTTGGTGTCCTTTCATATCAAAACCATCCAAAAGGAGATTCCCTATTTTAAGACACTTTATGAGCGCCTTCGTTGACAGGGTCCCCACTGAGGAGGACCTAAGACTTCCATTCGCTTTAGCCCCATTGTTTTTTTTTACAGTGGTGATTGAATTGATTCCCTCTAAAAACCAACATGTGAAAATAACAAAATATGAATTTCAGCAAATGGATGAAGAGACCTCACCCCTACCTTAAGGGGAAGCGGGGTGGGGGGTCCCCAATTCCATTTCTATAGTCTTCCCCATAGAGAACATGGAACCACAGATGGAGATCTCCAGGGGTAACCCCCGTCCCCCAGTACTCCATTTTTGAGGGGGTGGATGGATGGATGAAGAGACCTCACCCCAAACCAACCCTCCGACCGCAGCAACTGGAAGTATTTCACGACAAACATCGCAATGCCTTGCTTGTTAATGAGCGTCTGCGTTGACGGGGTCCCCACTGAGCAGGACCTAAGACCTCCATTCGCTTTAGCCCCCTCGAAAACAATGTGTAAAAAGCAAGTCCAGTAGTGATTGATTCCCTGCAAAAACCCATAGGGGATTAAAAAAAACAAAAACAGCAAATGGATGAAGAGACCTCACCCCTACCTTAAGGGGAAGCGGGGTGGGGGGGTCCCCAATTCCATTTCTATAGTCTTCCCCATAGAGAACATGGAACCACAGATGGAGATCTCCAGGGGTAACCCCCGTCCCCCAGTACTCCATTTTTGAGGGGGTGGATGGATGGATGAAGAGACCTCACCCCAAACCAACCCTCCGACCGCAGCAACTGGAAGTATTTCACGACAAACATCGCAATGCCTTGCTTGTTAATGAGCGCCTGCGTTGACGGGGTCCCCACTGAGCAGGACCTAAGACCTCCATTCGCTTTAGCCCCCTCGAAAACAATGTGTAAAAAACAAGTCCAGTAGTGATTGATTCCCTGCAAAAACAGAAAGAAAAAAACACATTTCAGCAAATGGATGAAGAGACCTCAGCCCAAACCAACCCTCCGACCGCTCACGCCGCTCACGCCGCGGCGCAAAGGCTCTGCGCCAGCTGGGCCGCGAAGTCGCGGCAGACGCCCATGGCGGAGATCGCCAAGGTGCCGGCGATGTAGTCGCTGGCGTTGAGGTACCGCAGGATCTTCCGCATCTGGCGACTTGAGAAATCAACACCTGACACCCCCGCATTAGATCTACCAGGGGTTTACTCACTTCCGAATTTTTGGATGGGCCAAACAGAGCAGGAACTTGTTGTTTGCCACTCATGTTTTAATAGTTTGACATCGAGAGTCCGCCGAGGGTGGAACACCTTGGGAGCAGGCAAACAACTCAATGTTGTTGTTGTTGTTGTTGTTGTTGTTGTTGTTGTTGTTGTTGTTGTTGTTGTTGTTGTTGTTGTTGTTGTTGTTGTTGTTGTTGTTGTTGTTGTTGTTGTTGTTGTTGTTGTTGTTGTTGTTGTTGTTGTTGTTGTTGTTGTTGTTGTTGTTGTTGTTGTTGTTGTTGTTGTTGTTGTTGTTGTTGTTGTTGTTGTTGTTGTTGTTGTTGTTGTTGTTGAAACTACCATTTTTGGATGTGACCCTGACTGATGGATGTTGCCTTCATGGACCCAAATATCACCAGGATATCACCTTGGGTACCCAGATGCACCCAGTCAGACCCTTTCAGAGACCCAAAGCCCAAACTAGGGTGAAGCCATGATTGCACATTTTTGACAAGCGACATAGTTGGACAAATTATCCTCCAGAACCCTACCACCAAGCGAAGGAGGGACTTGTCCATAGGGGCTGAAACTTGAGCATGTTGACATCTCTCTCAGGCGGGCAGAGACCTAAGTTCTGGGTACTATTTCCTTCACAAACCAGTCGTGGTTTTCTCCCCCCGATCGCGCGAGCGTGAAGCCAAAACCCTGCTGAGACTGCCAGTTCTGTGAGAGGGACACGGCTGCCTAGGGGATTTTTGCCTGGCGCATGGTACCGTGGCGACTTTCAACCAGTGGCTCTTTGAATTATCCCGCCGATCAAAAGTTTGCCCTCGCCTGCCCTGGGTGCCGAGAAAGGGTCGAGAAAGGCTCATCAGGTCGCGTTGAAGTGATCGGGATGCAGGTCAAGTCGTTGGACGGGGCTCATAGCAAGCAATAAAATGCGTGGCCAGGTACTAGTGCCAGTCATTCTGCGGGAGACATGCCCTGTTGTATGACAAAAAACATGGTGAGTTTGCCTTTGTTCTGCCGTGCCATTTTACGTACTGTGAAGACACTTCTTGAAGAATCCTGAAGGTGATGAGATATGCTCAAACTAGCTTCTGCGCTGGCAAAAATTAGCCTGCCTTTCCTTCGTGATGTTTTGCGGAGTACGCGTTTGCTCCGATTTCTCAACAGCCCGCGACAACCTTCCGGATTCGAATCCGCGCCCATCGCCAGAGCAAGTAGAGGAACAGCCGCATGGCAACGGGCCCGGCTAAGGCCAGGCGCGGGCAGAAGAAACAGCGGCCATGTATTTAGGGTCTCTTTCGGGAGCTGCGAAACACCCGATGACATGAGTGATAGGTCCAAAACAACTGGAATCATGCCTTACATTGACACATACAACGTTTTTTTGTTTTTTTTCCCCGGCTCATGTGAGTTGCCTTTCAAAGCCAAAAAGGTGGCTGACTATTGCTGATGCATCAGGCTTATGTGCCATGTGGATATGTGCTCAAAGGCAGGGTATTCACTGGCTCTTGCGTGTATTAAATGCCACCAGGCCACAGCAATATTCTACTTACGACTCCATAACCCTTACATATACCTGCATGAGCCTGTGTGCGGATCTAATCCGAAGCAACACCAACGAGGCTAGTATTGAGCTGGACATACTGCTGACAAATACATTACAGGTCCACAAAATGGTTGCAAACCCGAAAACACAGATCTGGTGGATTCGTTGAAAGCTCGCCAAGTTGTCTTGGAGCCAAAACTGAGCACGGACATGAGGAAGGGCTGGTGTCAAATGGGTCGCTAAAGTAGATGTCGAAGTCATGTCTTGCCTTTTGGGTTTCTCGCGGGGAAATCAAGACTGAGTTGCTGAGCACCCCGACTCAGAATGGTTAAAGTTCAAGGGCAAAGGGGGGAACCATTATTGTGGATTCCCGGCGCTTTGACCAGGGCGCCAAATGAAGCAAATGCAACGATGCATGTATGAGTGCAGGTATGTGCATGTCTACAATTGACATCTATGTACAGGTATATGCTTTGGACGCTGCCAGAGCAAATCCCAAGGATTCTGTGGAGGTTTGGTGAGCCCCCCGGTCACCGGCCCTGACTACGGATATGTTGACCAAGCCTCAGATCTCACGGTGCTTCCAGAGTCAACGGAGCATATGGGAATAACACAAGCTGCGTCTAAGACTGTTTGATTTGGTTCTCACATGTTCACCAGGCTTAAGCTGTTACAGTTCCAATCTGCAAACATATTATGATTCCAACCCCGAAAATGAGAGACACCCAAGCATGGGACGTACCAGTTGCATCACGGTGAGCTAGTTTACCCAAGTGAGCTCCCCACAAAATAGGCAGATCTCTTTGGCGGAAACCTACAAATCAAAAGGCAGACAAGTTGGACAATCCTGAATTTGATTCCAACTGCCAAAACGATCCGGGGGTCAAGGAACTCAATAGTAAACTTCCTGCGCGCAAAAACAAGCCAAGGGCCTGGACACGTGTAGATTGGATTGCAAGCCATGGCAAAAGAATGTCAAACGTCGGTCTGGCATTCGCAAGAGCATTGGTGTGAATTGCCATGGGCAGAGAAGACATATGTTGCAGTAGCCCCATTTTCCAGCTTCAGACTGAGAGCAAATGGGGGTCCCTGGTTTGGATCATTTTCCCAGACCTGGTGGGTTCCATGGCGGAAGGGTAAACTTGAGGTTTTTGGAAAGGGCTTTGCAGAAGGGTTTCTTAAAGTTCCCGAAAAGTTCCCAGGGTTCCTTGAAGTTCCTGAAAGTTCCCGTAAAGTTCGTGTAGGTTTTTTGGAGTTCCTTAAAGTTCCCTTTGAGTTCTCTTAGGCTTTTGGTTTCCTTGAGGTTGCTTCACTTCACGCTGAGCCCTTCCGAAGCCCTTCGCTCCGATCCGTGCCTTGAGCTCCCTGGTCAGCAGCGCGGCGAAATGCGCATTGTTCACCTCCGCCTGGCGCGGAAATCGAAGTGCAAAATGTTCGAAGACTCACGCGAAAAAGCACAGCAAGCCATGACAACCTGTTCACCCCCAGTTCTCTCTCCTCCGAGCCCTCCATTCTGTTCAGCCCTGAAGAACCAGCGCTTTGACCTGGTGTCCGGTGGTTTTCTGGAAAAGGTGAAGGATCCCTGAAAATGGGGGAAGTTGAACCATGCGAGTGCAAACCGTTTGATGGAACTGAGCGTTTGGTTTTCCTCGCGGCTGCTTTGACCAGGCACGTTGGAACCTCAAACATCGACGTGCGGAAAGACTCGAGGTTTCGCACTTCGTGAGTTGGTATCCATGTTTTCCCTTAAAAGTTCCCTTAGAACGACTCCACACCCGCCAAAAACAAAGCCGCCTCCAGAAACTACACAGCAAGTTCACTTGGCCTCCATCTGCTTAAGTCTCATTTCCATATCGTCAGCAGTGAAATCGCTTCCTTCTAAAACCAGAACATTAAAACGTTCGCCGGGAGGTTCCACAGGTCAAAACTGATTTGACAGTCGGTGATGACCGTGACGGCAGGTCTGACTTCCAAGGCAACAAAACAAACAACAAATCAGCAAATGGAAGTTGGTTTCCATGGGCTTCTCCCAAAAAGGCTTCGCTCCAGTTCGACAATGTGGACATCACTGACAAGGAACAGCCCACTGGTGCCTATGTTTGACCGCACCCGGCGGTCCCTCGGAGTCGCCGAATGCCCAAAAAACGTAAGCCGGATCGGAAATTGGGATCCACTAAGATTCATGGTTTACGCAAAATGTTCACTGAACTTTCGCAACTCGTCGTTCTTTTTTCGTTAAACATTATGTTTTCGGTATGAGTACCTCTTTTTGCATATGTTTCCGGTGACCCGCTTCCAAGAGGTCCTGGGCGAGTTGGCCCTGAACGATTTGCCGTTCGCTTGGAAATCCCGATTGTGCCCACCCGCAGGTTATATCTATGTATATCTATGTATATGTATGTATGTATACGTATGTATATGTATGTATATGTATATTTACGTATGTATGTATGTATGTATGTATGTATGTATGTATGTATGTATGTATGTATGTATGTATGTATGTATGTATGTATGTATGTATGTATGTATGTATGTATGTATGTATGTATGTATGTATGTATGTATGTATGTATGTATGTATGTATGTATGTATGTATGTATGTATGTATGTATGTATGTATGTATGTATGTATGTATGTATGTATGTATGTATGTATGTATGTATGTATGTATGTATGTATGTATGTATGTATGTATGTATGTATGTATGTATGTATGTATGTATGTATGTATGTATGTATGTATGTATGTATGTATGTATGTATGTATGTATGTATGTATGTATGTATGTATGTATGTATGTATGTATGTATGTATGTATGTATGTATGTATGTATGTATGTATGTATGTATGTATGTATAATTATAAACGTATGTGCATGTATGTATGTATATGTATGTATATGCATGTATATGTATATGCATGTATATGTATATGCATGTATATGTATATGTGTATGTGTATGTACATGTACATGTATCTGAATGTGTGTGTATATGTGTACGTATATATGTGTATACTATACATATTATACATATATATATATATACACGATAATTCAATGCCGCATAATTGCGCCATTCATTTTACAACAGTTCCGGATAAAGGCTCAGCTGCTCTTGCACCTGGCTGCTGTCTCCGCCAAATCCTGGATCACCCCAGCTGACAACAGCCCCAGATTCAAGAAGGGTAGCAAAAGCACGGGCAGTTGCCTGGATGTGCAGCACCTTTCTCAGCTGCCCTTGCACCCGGCCACTGTCCCCGCCGGATTCTGGATCACCCCACGTCACTACATCCCCAGATTCAAGAATGGCGGCGAAAGAGTTTCCAGTTGCTTGAATGTGCTGGACGTTCCTCAGCTTCTCTTGCACCTGGCTGCTGTCTCCGCCA